AAAAAAAATGGTTAAGCAGTTTAAAAAAATGTTTTTAATAATTCAGCTCTTGTGCTAGGCCAGATGAATACAGGGCTGTAATAATACACTATACATTAAATTTAAGAGCAAATGTGCTATCAGATACCTCTTAAACCGTTGAACAATTTTAGAAACACGTTGACGCAACATGTAGACATTTTTATGCTCTTGTGATTTAATATAACCTTTCTTTCAACATTACAGTTCTTAAATAAAATTACAAGGAACAGCATAAAAAAAACCCAATCAAGCATGCATTCCTTGAGGTCTCAAATCAGAGGCCCATAAAGTCCTTTAGATGTTTAAGTCAAAAGAACAACTTAGCGCAGTCTGGTAGGAACTTTATGATGCCAGTGCTCAAGGAGAGTTTCACCACTATGACATAGGTCTTGAACTTCTAAGCTGTGATGATGTTATTGCTTACAAAGAAGATAAGGAAATGTTTAAGTTCTAAATGGAGGGCTTAGGAATGTATTTAAAAAAAAAAAAACATTATGGTACCTTATGTTTCTTACATTCTGATAATATTATTACTACTATTTAAGAGATATGAACTTTGAAATTAATAAATCACAGAATAAAAGTTAGTTTTGCCTAGGAAAACAGTCACAATGTTTCCAAATTAGCTATTGTTGCCTTAATTTTGTCACGCAAATAATAGTGTAGATCTGTCATGTTTTATATAACGTCACAGCAATCTTATTGAGCTACACGTGGCTATAGTGGGGAATATAATCAGGGAACACGGATGTATTTATTGCAGTTGTGTTTTTTCTTCCAACCATTCTTATTTTAATTTTTTTTAACTGTTTTCACCATGATTTGCAATCCACGAAACCTGTCTGCATTGTATTACATGATGATGGTGGTGGTGGGTGTGTGTGTTTTTGTTTTATATAACTCCACTATGCGTGGCATACTGCTGATGTTTTATGCAAATCCGGTAGCATTAAATGTGGTGCTTTAGTAATTAATGACTCCAGTCAGAATAGGTTTTTTTTAGTGCTTCTGTGACTTATTCTCATGTGTATCTTTTCTGAGACTTTTTTCCTGGATATGTACTTAGTTTCAATCTAATGGAAATCTGCTATAGAATACCACCAGTTTCCATTGTAAATGCTTGCTTTTAGCATTTGATACTGAATTATTCTTTATACATAATCCCATGTGAATTACATTTACAGTTTGTCCTTTATCATTTCAAAGTGTTTTTATAATAAAAGATTTACTGATTGTTGTGTGTTTGTTCATTTTCATTTTTTTTTTTTGTCATGTACACGTACAGTTGTTTTTTTTTTTCATTTTTAATCTCTATATTGAGTTACGTTTTGTAGTACATTTCCTTACCAGATCTAGTAGGACATCCCAAACTTGGATTTCTGTTCTTCCATCCTGGGCTGGTTCCCCCATGTATTTGCATGTTTTGTTGCCAATAAGCATATTATTTGGCATTTTTGCAATATGCTGAATGGTGTCAGAGTTTCAGTGTGCATTCATAGCAGGCTGACAATCCCCTTCTTTGGACAGTGCTGCCATATTTTCCTGGTGTGATTGCCCATTTCAAGCATATCACGTGATACAACTGCTCACTAATGTGCCCCTTAGGCCCACCGACCATCTGTCCCAATTTTGTATCTCCCAATGTTGATATGGAATTTTTTCTTCTGCAAAGTGGCTCTTGGGGTTTACTGCTAAGGAGAAAAGTCTCAAAAGGAATGAGTGTGAATAGTTTATAATTGCTGCAAGATATAATTAATTTAATCTTCTATATATGTTTGGTATGAAAGAATATCTTCCTGATGATTCCCTGTGCTTCTAATCATTCTTAAAGGGACACTATAGTCACCAGAACAACTACAGTTTATGGAATTTGTTCTGGTGAGTAGAATCATTACCTTCAGGCTTTTTGCTGTAAACACTGTGTTTTCAGAGAAAATGCAGTGTTTACATTACAGCCTAGTGATAACTTCACTGGCCACTCCTTAGATAGCTGTTAGAGATCCTTCCTGGGTCATGGCTGCCTAAAATGCATCCAAACATTCAGTATCTCCTCCCTCTGCATGCAGACACTGAACTTTCCTCATAGAGATTCATTGATTAAGTTCATCTCTATGAGGAGATGCTGATTGGCCGGGGCTGTGTTTGACTCATGCTGGCTCTGCCCCTGATCTGCCTTTTTGTCAGGCTCAGTCAATCCTATGGAGAAGCATTGTAATTGGATCAGACCACCACTTCTTATGATGTCAGCAGACTGCTTGTTTTTCTGAGTCTAACAGCATGCAGAGTTACAGCTTCAGGCTTGAATACAGTAAGATTTTGCTTTATTTATGGAGGCATGAGGGGCCCGGGGGGGCTAAATGGTGGTTTTAACACTATAAGGTCAGGAATACGTGTTTGTGTTCCTGACCCTATAGTGATCCTTAAAGTTGTTAGAATTGTTATATATAAGCTGTGTTAGTTTGGCTGCTGTGTACTAATGTATGAAGGTGTGCCTGTAGCAGTACACACACACACACATATATATATACATATATATATGTATATATAAGCATTTTGATGAACGGTGAAATTAGGAATGGCTTGTTAATTACCATAACTGTATCGGAGTGGAGTTTAACACTCAGGTACAGGTTGGAGGTGGGGCAAGATAGAAGAAAATACTCCTTTAAATGTGAACACCATGCTCGAAGCAAGTTCATCTTGATAAAGCGTTTGATGCGCGAAATATATAGACATTGATATTTTCTGCTATGTATGTCTTATGTCGCAGTGAACTAGACTTTTTTCTGAATGCGTACCTTGGAATTTGTTTTTAAAGCCCCAAAGGGAGAATAAAGAAGATAAGTTGTACTTACAACATTCGCTGAGACTTATGTTTTTGTTGTTTTTATTCTGTATGGGATAGACTGAACTTATGATTCTGTTCCAATTTTCATTGTCTTTCAATACGCTGTGGCACCATAATCTTTTTTTTATTATTATTATTATTTATATAGTACCAACATATTTCGAGGCTCTTTACGATATAACACTAGGGAAAATAAAACATCATGTTGACATACAAGAAATGTGGACAGACACAAAGGTGAAGAGGGCTCTGCTCAAATGACCTCAATCTAAGAGAAAGGAAAAAGAGGAATACAAGAGGATGAAAAGCGTGTCAGAGGAGATGATGATGGATATGATGTCTGTATCTACATACAAATGGCATCACTTCCACAGTTTAGTTTTTTATCTAATGAAAGAATAATTCTGATATAACACAATGATTGCCTGAAACATGTACATGCTGTCTTCAGCTGGGTTGATAATGTGACAACTGTATCTGTTTAGTTTAAAACTACATGTTTATCCTGTTAAATGGGAATTGTAATTGTTGACTGAAACATTTTGTCTGTTTGCCCATCTTCCTAACTGTCCTATATAATACTATATCTATTGTTCAGTCTACCTTACATCAATATACCCCCAAACCTTTTCTATTCCTTGTCCATATTACATCAACAATCATTCACTGGGAAAAAAACAAAGCGATTCATATCAGAGTTTGCAGATCATAGATTCTATGATCTGCAAACTTTTTGTTTTAGGGATGAGCATAACCACCTACCAAAGCTGGTGGGTATGTGGCAGCCTCCTGGAGTTAAATGCCAGAGCTGAAAAAACGCTAGCGCTGTGCTCCTGCACAGCAACAACATTTCAGCCAATCAGGTAATCAGGAGAGCCGTGCTGAGCGCGGGAATCCTGATTACCTCAGATTTTTAAAATTGGGAAACTGTGGATGATTAGCTCATCATACTAAGCACAATGAATATATATTACCCAAAGGGTAGAAAGACCTAATTAAAAATCTAAACAAAAAAAAGAATTCAAGGACCCAATAGTAAAGGGGAACAAGAAAATATTTAATAAGTCGTAAAGACATATGAGATGGACTTGAAAACTTGTGTATACTGCACACAGCTAAACAGATAACAAAGCAACAATGTATAAGCTTAAGAAAGTATCAAATAGACACTGACACTGGAACATCCTAAACTGCAACAAAATAAGTTTTGTAAAGAAAAATGAAATGTTGTAACAAGTCTTTGAAAGCAGATTCTTTATGCAGGGAGCCCATGAGAATTTCATATTGCAGATACTACTATTAACCAGTCTTCCTACTTAAGTAGATCCATGGTTTGTTGGTCTTGTCTTGTAGTACGGTTATAGTCTGTAAAAAAACAGAAAACCGTTATAAATAGGCTGAATAACCACAATATAACCTTATGTAAAGGAAAACAAACTACCACCAGCAGGCAAAACCCTTACCATAGGGGAGGGTGGGACATGAGCTATTGCTAGGTGGTTTTGCAGATCATAGGTTCCTGCAAACTTTGATTTGTCCTCCAGGACGCATAACCACCTTGCAAAGCTAGTGGGTGGAATAGCAAACATCTGGTGGTGGTCCTAAGAAACTGAAGGCGTTCAACTTCTTATGGCCTCCAGTAAAATCTAAAAAAGTTTTTACTGGACAGCCACCTTGCAGCTTTCAAAATAATAGGGAGGGGAAGGCCCTTTGCTGCTGCTTTAGTAGCTGAGGCACCCCTAATTGAGTGGCCTTTGAACACAGAAATATCAATACCAGCTGAAGACATGGTGGAAAGTATTCAACCTCTAATTGTATTAACCTTGGCTGGACGAAAGGGATTCCTTGATGTAATAAATAATTGACTGATATAATTTCTAAACGCAGCGGAAGGGTCAAAGTACGATTGTAACAAACTGACTAAACATAAGTCTGTTAAGAAGGATCTTGAACCAAATCCAACTCCACCGGTCGTGGGGAAATATGGGATGTTTTTTGTCTCCCTTTTAGTATAATATGGAACCCTCCCAGGGTCTGGGACAACCATGGTTCTGAAATCTGGATTTGAGTTAACTTAGCAACTCTAGCTGCAAAGTCCAAAGACCAGCAGAGAAGCCAACTCAATAGCAGTTCATTTTAAATCAATTTTAGCATTATCCAAAGAATTAAGGAACTTTAATAAGAGGTTAGGGATAAGGAAATTTAAAGCAGATCCATAGGTCTTGATGGTACTCACCACTAAACCAGAATGGAACTTAAGGGTAAGAAATTCTAAAGCCAATGGAATGGTATCAGATACCTGAGAAGTAGATAGAAAAGACACCTCCCATTCTTTGAATTCCTCAATTATCTTTCTAACTCTTACCCTAGTTCTGCACCTTAAATGAATTAATGATGTCCAGGACCTGATCTGATAAAAGGGGCTGCGATCCACATCAGCTGCGGAAGCTTGAGCAAAAGTTCGCTGGTTCCCTGAAAGCAGTCCACAGTCATTCCCAATGAGGTCTTGGTTCCCTTGACTAACTGATGGATCAAGAGGTCCAAGGGGTACCAGGGTCCATACTGGGTAAAGGAGAACTAAACTCTGTACCCTGTCCCTGTGGATTTTCTCCAGCACTTTCATCAGTAAAGATGGAGGGGGAAAGGCATAAGGGTGAGATGCTTCTCGGGATGCTGCTGCAGCCCAATATGGGCGATTCTGTCCGAAAGAGCTTCTTGTAGCCAGGAAAGGAATTTTTGAGCTCTGAAAAGGATCTTCTTGCCTTTTAATGGCCTTAACATCCTGAATGAACGAGGGAACAAAAAGGTAAGAATCCTACAAATTTGGGAACTCGTGATTTAGGGGCTAGGTCAGACATTCCTGCTGCGTGGAGCTAGCATGTTCTGCGCATGTTTGAGATGTAATTAAAGGATTCTCCAATAATTAGCACTGCCCTGTCGGATGATTTTAATAAAGCCATCTTAGATGCCAGCAAAGATGAAGCAGAAGGTTTCTGAGTATTGCCTTCTTTCTCTGCTTTATCCAGCATCAGTAATAGTGGGGCCACAGCATCAGCCATTTTAAACTGCATCTTATGAAAAGTCTGGTCTGTGGGATCTGTAGATACACTGTTCCCTGTGATAGATAACAGAGCAGGATCTACCTCAAGAGCCATTAAAGCTTGGATATCCGGTATACCAATGTAGTTCCTGAGGAACAGGTCATCCTCCTTAACCAAGGGGGATCTAAAGGCTAGTTTGGTAAAATCTCTAACCTCAGAATCGTGCTCCATAGCCCATCTTAAGTGAAATAATTTTGATGGGAGAGTCTTTCCTAGGAGACTCACTCTAGCCATCTGAACGTTGCTAAGTTTCCCTTGCTCAGTGGAAGCTGCTGAACGTACCACTTCCTCAGATTCCTAGTCTATTTCTGGAGAGCCGTGTCTATAACTAGAATGGCTTTGGGAGGAAGAATGAGCAAATGCTCTAGAGAGATTTGTTCTTTTTGTCTGGAAGGTGTTTCCGGTGCTCAAACAAGGGAGATACGCTATTCCTGTCCCTTTAATTTTTTGCTTACTCGAATGAGTATGAGGGAAAGGAGGAGCAGAAAAAATTTCAGATGAGGAACTGGCAGAAGAGACCAGCCGCCTTTCCTTATTCTTTTTACGTAAAACTGGGATCATATCTTCCTCCGAAGATGAAGAGGATAGATCCCTGGAAAGGAAAGCTTTCTTATGGAGCTTTCTAACATTGATGGGGCTGCCTCTAAGAGAGGCATTTACTAAATCTGTGGCAGACATAGATATGGAGTCCTCCATCAATGATGTCATTTTAAAAATCTGAGATAATCAGGATTCCCGCGCTCAGCACGGCTCTCCTGATAACCTGATTGGCTGAAACGCTGTTGCTGCGCAGGAGCACAGCGCAAGTGTTTTTTAAGCACTGGCATTTGACTCCGGGAGGCTGCCTCATGCCCACTAGCTTTGCTAGGTGGTTATGCTCATCCATAAGACAAAGAAAGTTTGCAGATCATAGAATCTATGATCTGCAAACTCTGAAATGAATTGCTTTGTTTTTTCCAGTGAATATGATTGTTGGAAAAGACAATAATGTTGATGGAATATGGACATATGGAATGGAAAAGGTTTGGGGGTATATTGATGTAAGGTATACAGAACAATAGATATAGAATAATATAGTACAGCTGGGCAGATGGGCAAACAGACAAAATGTTTCAGTCCTTATTGATCAACAATTATAATTTCCATTTAACAGGATAAAAGTGTAGTTTTAAACTAAACAGCTTTTTCTAGGTGGTTATGCCTCCCGGAGGACAAATATTATTTAGTCCTAGTGATTTACCCCATATTACCACATAAAAACAGATCTATATTTCTACACCACACTTTGAAATGATACCTATATACGGAGCAATGTGGTATTTGGATAGAAATGTGCTGTCTATTCTAAACTACTGTCAAAAAACAAATATGAACACAAAAGCTCAAATAACATAAAAGATAGAACCCCAATGGTGAAAAAAAGTATTTATTAAAACAAGCATAGTAAATGATTAAATTTTTTCCATTTTACACATGAATGTGGATGTGTTGGTTGTGAGACAACACATTTATGCTACACATTTACAAAAGGAGTGAAGAATAGGTTAATTGACTTTAGCATCATCTATGTGGATTTAGAAAAATGATTTTATTTTTTTTTAAAAAACCTTTACTTTCCCTTTCTCATAGTGGCAATTTGGTTGTATTGTCTATTAAATCTCAATATGTTCCATATATGTTGCAACAGTTTTTTCTAACTACAGAAGCAGAAACATGATATGACACTATATTAGTTAAAATTTGTTTTCAGAATGTTTTCCCACCTTCTGCCCTATCACTGGTGTATTTGGTTTCAATAATACAGAATAGAATTCTTTTATTATCTGAAACCTGTGAAAAAATGATTTGCCCTAGAGGGAAAGGATTCTTTTCAACACATTCCATCATGAAAATGATCAGTATCAAACTGAGGAAAGTTTTTTGGAGAAATGGATACTTCCGAGGGAAAGGCCTATTGTAGGTGGCTAGCATCTGATGAGATTGTTCTAAAGTGGTCTCTCCTTCACTGCAACATTTTACATTCTAATTTAGTTGCTACCATGTTTTTTTTATGTTTACACAAGGCTCCACATTATGATATTATTTGTCTCTTAATTTTCATGTCTGTTATGTCATGATTTCCCTAAAGATCTTCAAACTGTTTGGATCAGTGTTTTCTGCCATCCAGGTTAGATTTAATTGAAATTAAAGTAACACTCAAAGCACCCTAGTCGCTACAGCCCTCTGTAATGGTTATGGTGCCCGGAATGCAAAGAAACATTTATCTACCTAGTTTCAAGGTAGATCTAAGGCTGCTTCCTTGAGGGGATGTAGTAACCCCTCCCATTAACATAGGTCCCAAAATGAAGTACTGTGAGGAGGTATCCTCAATCATCTAAGCAATGTAAAAATTACAATCTTGTATTTTTCTAAAAGTAGTGTTCCCACTTCACCTTTTACTTGGACAATATAGAGACATTAGGCATTAACATCAGTTATTCAGCATAGCTTGGCCTGTATTTATACTGCACTGATGTAGACCATTTTGTTATTATATGCAATGCTGTTTATTTGGAATTTGTAGCATTCATTTATAGTCTCTCTATTACTTGTAAATTGGCTTAAATAAATAAACCTGATTTCGCATGTCTGCATAATTTTCTACTATACCTCACATCATGCTGAGCATTTGGCCAAAATCAAAAAAAGCTAAACGTAAAACTAGTCACTACTTTCAGCCCAGCAATAATTAATGATCTACTAGTGCTTGGGTGGCCTCTTTAGTGACCCCACACCCACAACTCAATACATTATGAAGGACACGTGTTTGTCTGTAGAAGCTGTGCATAGCATCATCAATATTTCTATAAATAAGTCTGAAGTTGATGATCATGTCACTGTAGATTGAGCTATGTTTGTGGCTGATTTTACGGTAAGTTACAGCCCATTGCATTTCCAGATAGTGTCCTTATGGGAATGGAAGTCAACCACTAAAACCAAGTGGAGGGAGGTGAAAATTACCTAACACACGACAGTACTTCTATTCAGTTTCTAGCTCCAGTGAGTCTTTCTGTGTAATCCACCAGGGATTCTGCATGACTAGGGTTTTAATTAAGTAGCATGCTGTTGAATTTACCATATTATTTACTGTAAAATTCGGAGTATGTTTATGTATCTAAAGTGATGGGCTGGTAACTCGCTGTTTTTAAGGGCAAAATTGTTGAACTGGAAAAAAAAAAAATCTTAAGCACGATCAAAATATCAACCATCCATTTTTTATTTGCCCATTCTGTTAACTATTTCATATGTAGCATATATTAACAATTTGTCTTTGTTCTTTGGTGTCCAGGAAGACAAAAATTGTTTGATCAAATATTCCATTTGTGGTTACTAATTCCATTTCCACAAAATATTTGACAACCTAACATCCAGATGCACAGAGATAGCCAATCACAGCAAACAATTAAATACATTTAAAAATTATACTATTGCCAAAAAGTTTAAAAAGGATATTTTGTTCAAACATTTTTTTACATTAAACAGCATAAGTTTGTTAAAATGTATCTGTTTTACTTTTTTTTATATGTGCTGTTTTCATATTCACATTATTTATTTAGGCATCTATGTCCATTAATGGCAGTATAAAAAGTATAAAAAAGTTTGGTTTTTTTGCCTTTTCAAAAAGTGCAAATTTTTATAGAAATTGACACTTTTATAAATGAACCTTTTTTAAACTCCCATGGATGATCCTTTTAATTCCTGGTTGCTTCGCTCAGTGGAGATAAGCTCAAGATGCAGGTAACTTCTCAAACACTTGCCTTGCAAAGACTTCTCAATGAGCAGCATCTGCAATTCTGTAATTGGACAGCCACAGAAAGTCTGGGTTAGGAATGAAGAAGAGAACATGCAAAAATAAGATCCAGCACTCCTTACAAACCAAACTCCCTTTATTTTTAATTTATTTTTTAGCACCAGCTATTTCTTTATCAAGCAATCTAGTATGATCTTTGATAAATACATACATACCAAAATGTTGCAATACATGAATTAAAAAATAAAGGATATTGATTGAAAGCTGTGCTGGACATCATTTATTTTGGTTGGATCTACTATTTGTCTGGCAGTGACTGGAGTCATTGTACCCTTCAGCTGAAGCTATTCAAGCTTGTTGGTGAGTGCTCTTCTTTATCGTATTGTTCATTTGGGGTATATCTACTAAATAATTATTTTAAAAAAATTGTATGCTATAGTGTAGTGTCCCTTTAATGTAGTTGGAATTTGCTGGGCTCTCTACTGAGTCTTTACTGCAGGATAGAGGAGGAAATCTGGGGTCATCTACTCCCTTGGTGATCAAGCAATGCAAGGTATAGATTATACCTGGCACTCAAGGTTTACCTAATATCAGCTCCCAACACACTTGATGAGGTTTGGTTTGGTGAGGCCAAGAGAGTAAAGTGCATTAAATAAAAAACTATACATTTGCTAGCATTTCTTCTAGCACAATAAATGTAATGTTCTTTAATTTTAGACAAAGTTGTTTGATAGGTTCTACATTTTTCTGCTTGCAATTTTCGTCCAAAATCTTAGTAGTCTCCAGGGTTTGTCTCGCCTACCAGGATATTTTCCATTGGACTTAAGTATCCTGAGAATACCAAATTGTCAATCTGTAATAAAAATGTATGGTGTCCCCTGTTGTGTTTTTAAGTGTGAGGTGAGTTGGTTTTCATGATATGAATGGCATAATGTCCAGTTCATGCTGATGGTCACATGAATACATGGTGTCACATCTTGAGTCTACGACATCAAACATGTGTCAGACCCATTTATTTTATCTGCATCATAAAAATTACCATCTACACAGCAGCATGTGAGTTAAACAGATGTTGCTCCAGCCCCGTCAAAGAATTAGGTTTACTAATAATGATAAACTAGAGAATATTAGAATTCTGAGAATGGGGAAAAGCTCAGGAAAACCTCAATAGTTTGCCCTTCAGTTAGTCCTCACTCAGGTCTCAAAAAGGTTTTTGCTTACTTGTACCATTACAGAGAGTACCTATACTAAATGCATATGAGACTGATCCCATCCATAAGTCCAGATCTGAAATGCAGGCAAGTTCCCTCTGCATGAGAAATACAGCAACCCCAGATGATTGTTTTGGCCTTCTTAAGGCCTCATCAGCTAAATGTAGCTGATACCCCTTGAAGCACAGTGAGCACAAGGTCCATTCCTGGATTACCTTTTAGACTTTTAGTAG